GCAACCCAAGGGTGAAGGGGAGCATCTGCAGCAGCAAAACCCTCAATCACTAGATGGAAGTGCTGGTGAACAGAGTCAGGGAGGCAGAAGGTGGGGGGGCATGGAAGAGAAGGATTCACTTTCCCGTGCCAGCACTTCAACCACGGACCAATCTCCTGCACCACAGGTGCTGCCAATGTGGGTCAAGGGCATGGCTTCAATGTTGGGATCCAGAGGTACCAGACCCCACCAAAGAGGTCTTGGTGGCTACTTATCTTGCCGAGGATGTGGAGACACTGCACCCCTTGGCTTATTGGGCAACCCACATTCAGGTGTGGCAGGATCTGGCCACAGTTGCCCAGGAACACCTGTCCTGTCCACTGAACAGTTTTCCAAGTGAGAGGGTGTTCAGCATTGTTGGTGATGTTGTGACACCCCACTGCACTGCCTCAGATCCTGGTTTGGTGGAGCAGCTGGCATTCCTGAAGGTGAACCTCCTGCTGCTCAGGTTCCCCAAGCTCCACATGCTGATAGAGTGCCACCCTCCTCACCCCGCACCTATTTGCTTTTTTTTTTTTGCTTTCAGAACCTTGAGGTGCACTTTCACAGAAACCCCTGCACCACTCTGCCTGAAACCTGGCAGGCCTCATGCCCACACGAGGGGCTACCATCCCTGCTGCTTTCATCCCACTCTGTCTTAACACATACAAGTGATATGAGTTTGTCTTTCAAAAGTTTGAGGTGCACTTTCACAGAAACCCCTACACCTATCTCCTTGAAACTTGACAGGCTTCATGCCCTCAGAAGGGGCTACCATCCCTGCTGTTTTCATCCGAATCTGCAAAAACATGACAAAGTTATAGGTATTCTGGTGGTCCCCCATTATAGTCTAGGGCCAAATCTCCAAATCGGCGCCGAATGTCTGAATCCGAATCGACCAGATCGAATCAGGACAGTGATTCAAATCAGTGAATCAAATCACTGTCCCTCCGAATTGGCCAAATCTGAATTGAATACTTGCTGCTTTGCACCAGCCTAGTACTGATAGTGTATTGAAATATAAGAGCCACAAATATAATTTAGAGATTCAGAGAAAATTGTGAACTCATTCAGATACAAACCTAAGCAAGAGCTGAACACAGAATAATAGCTGTTTTAAATGGCTTGATGTTTTAAATTACACAGGATCAAGTGCATGTTTTTAACCCTAATGTGTGATAATAAAAGGACACCGATTTTAAACTCACCTCAATAAACTGTTACCCTCAGTTAATTCAAGCTTACAACAGAAGTGCAGCCACACTATCCTTTAAGTGGTTTAAAGGATATAACTACTCATTGTAATTACTGGATTATTAATCACAGGGGTTCCATTCACAAATCTTTCTAAACACAGATCAGTGACCACGTAACCCAAGAGGTTTCTGTCCTACTGGGTACATTCTTCTGGTGATAATTATATCCCCCAATCAGCTCATTACTACCACCCAAGTATTAAATAAGTAGTTAATAATACATTGTATTATCTGAGATTGCAATAACTGAACATAGCTTATTAGCTAAAGGGTGTAATTTAAATGTTAAAATATCTGCTTCTATAGAATTAAATACATTCTTTACATGTTCCATCTGCTACTTAGCTCTGCAGTGTCAGCTTCTCTCTAGAGACGTGAGGAAGCATACCGTGGTACCTGGAACCTTGCCTATGTCTATCCTAACCATGCACTTGGTCCAATAAAGATATCACCCACAATATTTCTTACCTGTGACAATTTTTACCTATGTGTTTATTTAAAAGCAGTACTCTGCATTTCCATTGTGTCTTCTGGTAGCAAACTACCAACTACTTTACATGCCTTTTTTTTTATATCAAAGATCGCTAGTTCCTGTAGTAGCTCCCACAGGGGATGAAATTTCCATGGTAATTTCATTGTGAAGTTTTTCTTGCCTATCATTATATTAGCTGAACCAGCAGGGTTTACTGTCCTTTATCATATGGCGAAGGGTCCATCCTCAAACCCAGCAGACATCTAGAAAGGCAGGACAAGCTGAAGCCTCATCTCTGCAATGGTTTTGGCCCCCAGAGACATACTCATCTGGTCCCTGGCAGCCTAACTCTGTTGGAGCTGTAGGACCAGTGATACAATAGGCCGCTGAGTGAAAGGGTTCACAACAAAGAACAGAGTGTTGGGTATCTAAGGGAACACAACTGCTTCCATTCTTGAATGCTAGTAGTAATAATGACTGTCATAATGAGCATACAGTGTTTGCAGCGGGAAATGTGGCCAGTCTTGCACACAGTTACGTTGTAATGGGACTACTCACCTGTGCAAAGTTAAACACATATGTTAGTTTGCAGGATAAGAAGTCATGATTTGCAGAGTGAAATCCTGTCTTGGGAGTCAGTAACAATGCATGTTAATTGGAATATTCACTGAACTATAGATACCAGTGTGCATTTGCAGAAAGGATTGAAGAGATTGAGTGGAGCACAAATCTCTTTAAAGATCCTAACTCATTAAACTCCCTTTTGCTTTAAAAGTAGAAAATAAGGTCAATACTAATGTTCACTTAAAATCATTAATACAGGTGTGTTATTTTGCTGAGGTTTTAGTTATATAGTCAGTGTGGAAAATGCATCTTTTCCTTTGAATAAATGTTGTTCATCATTCATGTCTTCTCCAAGAAAAATGCAATGTAAAAAGAGAAGTCTACAGTAGAAAAATTCAGTCAACATTATTCAAAGTTATTTAATTTCCACTAATAAGGAATATAAACATATTAAACACACACCAAAACATTTTTAAAAGACTGTATGGCATTATTACAGTGTTTTAGCTCAATACAAATGTAATTTGTAATTTTATAAAAATTATAAGAAAGTATAGCAACATTTTTAAGTAACACATCAGACAGTATAGAAAAAATAAATCTCAACATTAATAGTACTTTGAACATTTTCAATGTAAGAATTTTAAAAGTGCTCTTTAATGACAGTGTCACAACTCAAAATTAGTGCAATACGCCAAATACATTTTAAGCAAATATTTATAGCAAGTTGTACAATTTTCTGTAACTAACAGACCAGAAGTCTGAGAACTAGTGTTAACTGAGGTAAGTATTTCAATTGCAACTAAACATTACTTAAGTGCCTTACAAGCTGATTCTATCACTAGGAAGAAAATATCGGCATCCCTTCATGTATGCACTGAACCCTAAACAACACATCATGAAACCAGCACTACATCAGTGAATACTTAGAAGTGAAATGGCTTCTCCAAAATATTTTAACTGCTTAGAAAACTTATAATTCGATGCCACAAATAGTATTTAATACATAGTATCTTAACCTTAAGTATCAAAGCCTTTATATAGGATAAATGTACCTAATTAACCTTTCAGCACATTATTTTGTTTACAATTCATAACATATCTAAAAAAGCCCCACTTCTCAACTTAATAGATAGCATATCTTGAAAATTAAGCAAGCTTCGTTTGGAAATATCACAGTATGTTTATCACTGAATAAGTACATGACTTTGATTACCAGAAATGACAGTTATTGGCATAGCTACTGCCAAGCTCTTTAAGCAAATGAAAAAGGGAACATTAAAAGAGAAAAGAGTCCCTCCCCACTACTATATATACTCTGATCCACTACAAACTGATAAAGGTAAGAGGCACATGGTACCTCCTAATCCGGGAGTACTTTCCAAAGCTGCAGAGAACTGGGAAGAACTATGCCCTAAGCAGTCCTGCCTTCCCACCCCTTTGCATCTTCCTTGCAAAGACTTGGGCTCCAGAGGCTCTGGCACCAGGGAAGGAAAATCAATAGGACAGTGCAGAAGCAACAGCAAGAGGTTCACTGCCACTGAGGGAAGATATTAACTCATTTTTTTGCCGCAGACACATGTCCAGCAGCCTATGGTTTTTGGTGCAACAAAAAGGAAGTGACATATTCTCCTCCCACCAGAAACAATATTTCTCAGAATGCCCTTTACTGAATGCTCTTGCACTGTGGCTGTTACTGTGCTTCCCCCAACCCAGACCTGAAGCCAAAGGAGAAAGGGGAGTATGGGATGGTGAGATACCTCCACTCTATTCCCTTCCCCTCCTTCTTCAGCAGCCCCCTGAGGTGTGCTTCACTCTTCACATCCTTATCCAACTCCACAGTTAACCTCTTCAAGCAACAATACTTGCTTTTTTAACTGACGTTCTTCATAATATTTATCTTTATTGAACTGAATGTCTTAAATGTTGATTATTCAGTCTCTTTTTGTTAAAGCCCTCACTTTCAGAGACACAAAAAGAATAATGTAATAACTGAATCCTTGGGCCTCCTATGTAGACTATGACAAGTCTTTTTATTCGACTCCTTTAAAGTTCATTTATAAAGGAAGATTTTAGTCATTACGTGGAAATGGAGTAAATTATAAGCCAATGCATTTACTTTATATAGGTTAGGCCTGTTGTCATACAGGCCATATGCTGCAGGGGCAGACTTCCAGGATCCTCCTGCACCCTGCATTGACTGTGTGGGTGGCACATGGCTCTCCCCACCACATGGGCTGCATGTAGCCCCCACCTAAGTCTTCCTCCATCCTGCTACAGGAAAGGCAGCTGCATGGGCCTGTGTGGGCCCACTGGATGGACAGCCCTGATATAGGTGATGGCTTAAAAAAAACAAACTACTGACTATTTTTCATAGTACTGCATTTAAACATCAATACTGAATTGATCATTAAAGAACAACAGCTCTGTACCTCCACTGGATAAAAATAAATAGATAAGTACTATAAATCAGAACATAAAACAATTTTACATCCAGTTTCCATTTGAATCTCTTTTTTTTTTTTTTTTT